TGAACAAACGTAGTGAGTACCTGTTGCCTTTTCTTTTATCATTGTGGGCTGTTTCTTCCTTTCCTGGCCTGCATTTTGACCTCTATCTCGTGTCATTTATATCTTCCATTCCTTTCTCTATTAATCCTATAATAAGTTGTTGCAAGAGTCCCCGTCCGAAGTTTTTAAAAAGTTTTGAAAGTTTGTTTACCCATTTTTGTTATTATTTTTGTTTCGCGCAAGCCTTGCATCACGTTTTGCGTTTCAAGTATTCTCTGTCTAATATGCGTGAATCTTTTATTAATTTTCAACTCGATAGATGTTAAAGAATGAGTTTATTGCATAGAGAGATGTATTATTTATTGTAAAAAAGTATTAGTATTTGTAATTGTTTAAGGAGATGAGGGTGATTCACAGATTCACAGATTGGACTTAATCTCTCTGTGGCATTTATTGGGACTTCGTGTTGTAGCATTTGTTACAACATATTGTTTTAATATATGACCCCATTTGTCTGTGCAGATTATTTAGCTTTTTAATGAATGTATTTTTTTTCTCACTCTTTATTGGATTTTCCCTAACTCTGTACGGTCATTAAGTATGGAAAGGGGATTATTTACTGGTATAATAACCATTACGGCAAAGTTTATCGTATACCCTATGGCAGTGTAGCTTAATCTTTACAGTATGGACATGCTAAGACAGGGGAAATTGAAGATTTTTCTCGATGACAAAAAGTATTAGTCGTTGATGTAAAAAATAATCTGCAGACATGAACGATAATGCTACAAATAAATGAAAGAGACCAAGGAAAGTGTTGTTCTTAGCCTAAGTCCACTTGGTCCTCCCAAGTTTCAGGGCTATCTTGCAGTGCACATAATGTGAAGACAGTGGTTCCTGTACAGTGTTAGGGGGCAGAGCCCAATGACGGCAATTTAGATTTTTCAATAAACTTGTGACTTGGAGTTGGGGACAGTCTCTGGTGAGTGTGTCCATAATGTAAAGAATTATGGCTCTGTGAAACTATACCTATATCATTTATTCATTAATTGTATTTCATGTCGAATGGTTTTAGTTATTTATGATTGTATTTTTATGAAGGGAGGAGTTGAAAAAAGAAAAACCTGATTATTGTCATAATTGTTGTCTTTTCTTTCTATGTTGTGTCAAAACATGCACAGTAGAAGGTTGTTCTGCTGCCTGTCATCATCAATGTAAAAATAGTTTGATTATAATACTGTATATATGGTGCTGATAGCAAAAGAATGGAAGGAAAAACTCAGGTGGTTGTGGGCTATACACCTGAGAAAACATCATCTGAACAACGTTATTAACTTTTCTGACAGCATCAACCTAATAAGTAAAAGGCCATGACATATATAACAATTAACAGTGCTTATAATTGATGTATCAACAAGGAGACAGTTTTCTCAAATATTATTTCTGTTATGAATTTTGATTTAAGAATTTAATGCAAACAATCCATAGAAGTTGGTGGCTTCTCTTAATAAAGACATTAAAGATGATCCTTCTTAAGGTTCATTCACACAGACATATCAGTGGTATATCAGTGCTGTGCCCACTCAGTCTGTCAATGTCTGATGATAAAAAAAAGTTACTTTGAATTCATGTGACACATTCACAATATCAGGTGCAGTGCTGAATTTTGACTGTCAGTGTCAGTTTGGTCTCCATACTGTGAAGATGAATATTGGCGCCACTAACTTTAAATTTTTTTTCACGGATGTCTGATGAATATTATGAGCTTGTCAACAAAAATAATGAATTCAAGTTATTTTTAATACACTGTATAGCAGAATGAATGCCTAAAATTGGTTTACTGTTAAGGAAAATCTTTATGAATTAGAATAGATACATACAATAAGACTGTGATAAAATGCTTGTATTATTTAACCTCAAACAAACTGCAAATCGTCCTGTCATTGTTATAGCCTTTCTCCAGTGAGTGTCTTACTTGTTCAGCTGAACCTCTGTTTTACTGAGCAATATGATGAAACAATTTCAGACATTCTGAAGTACTGGAAAATTTTGTTCCTTCATCAGTTAACTCCTTGTACAGATTATCAAATCTTTATTCTCCTTACTTTTATGTTTCATGTTCCCCCTTTCTTTTCTTCAGCTTATTCTCAGCCTTTTCCTCTCCATCAAGAATTATGGCAATCATTGTCAATTCTGCCTGAAAACTTTGCCATCTGTTAAGTCACTGATTTCACGCTGTATGGAGGCACTTCGGATATATATGAACGCACCTCACTAAAGCGTCCTGGATTCACGGACGTAAAATGACACGGCACTGATATGCCACTGATGTGTGTGAATGGACCTTTTAGTAGTAAATTGCCTATCCTGATATATGTGAATGGACCTTTAAGTAGTAAATTGCCAGAGAGGACCTTAAAAAGAAAGAAATTTCACCTATAGTTTGTGGAATCTTTGTCATGTGAATAGATTCTAGTAGTTGTAGGATTGAAAGTTAAAGGACATAGCCAGATTACATTAATCAGAGGATTAACTTTCTTGTTGATATATAACAGGACATATGACCTTTTAGATTATGATGGGTATTAACATAAAATGATGAGGAATTACTTTCATTTTAGTGTTGGAGGAATGTATCATCATATCAGATAGTATAAAATTTTATCATGGTAGCATGATTACAATTAGGAATATGCCAGACTTGTGATAATGTTTATTATTATTTAACATACTGGCACAGTGAGAGTATGTATATCAGTCATATCCTCTTTAATTTTTTGCTATTATTTTAGTTTAACACAAGCATCTAATCTTGTAATTATTATTTGTTTCAGTTGTTCACAGTGTATTATTTGTGTTGGTATTGGTCGTTGTTTACAAAATGACTGCTCTCCTCTTGAGAGTAATGGCCGGTTTGTTATAATTCTGCGAGGCCAGACCCAATGAACATTCATTATGCGGACATATATACACTGAAATAAATGCATATCTGTTTGTGTATACATGTATATATATATAGAGAGAGATAAATGCTTGTATATCTTAAAGATAGACAGATAAGCATTTATTTGTGTGTGTATGCATATCTGTATATAAGAATATTCATTTGGTTGGGCTTCGCACATTTCTAACAAATCGGCTTTAAGTCCCTGTTACTCTAGCTACTCATGGGAATCCACAAATATTTCCATATGAACAAAAAACCTCCCAAATGCAGGGGCTTAGCCTATAAATCCCCCCACCCAATTCCTGTATTTCTTGCAGACCCCAACCCAATCACTGTGCAATCTTTGTTATTCTTTTTTTTTTTGTATAAGATTATTATCATTATCATTATCATTATCATTTGTTTATTTATTCCCCCCCCCTCCCCCAAAGTTTAGATTTGAGGCAATGGGGAAAACACATTTCCAATGCTTCAAATTTCTAAGTTTAGTGGTGACTATGGAGTGCCTGGCCTGTAACTTGGTTTAGAGAAGGTTAACCCAGTCATGCTGAGATGTTCTATCAAGTCATGGTAGGCCACCCTCATGATAGGATGAAGTCTTTGCTTCATGTACAATTGAACCAGCTGTGAGTTCATGCAGAAATTGTGCTTTTGTTTGCTACATACCTTGAGGAAAAATAGCCCCTCAAAATAAGGCTTAAAGCTTCTTTTTAGCCCCATTGCTTAAAGTAAAGAAAAGAAAAAATGCTACAGCCAAAAGTATAGAGAGAGGATAATTTGATGCTTCTCTCGCTTCTGCTTTTTCCCTCATGTAACTGACTCCTTATGCACCCAGACTTGTTGAGGGCTCCTATCATATTTGGGTTAGTTGTGCTTTTGAGATGAATTTTTAGCTCATCAGAAATATTAGCTGCAAAATAACCTAGATGAAAAATGGATAGGTATGGAACCAAAGGTTTTTGCTTCTGTGGCTCAAGGTGCATTTAACTGTGGCCTTCTCCGACCTTATTTGTCAAGGAAGCGGTCTTTAGATATAAATGTAATATGTCAGAAAGTGAGAAATGCCTGGCATACAATTCTTGAGTAGTGCACATGATGTGATAAAGAAGAATTCAACTGTTATCTACAATAAGTATGCTCTTTAAAACTAGGGTTGATAATAATAATAGTTATGATAATTATATGTATATAGTAATAATGAGAATATTAGTACTGATGTTTATCATGAAAATGATGTCAGTATTAAAAAGGAAAACATGAATATTGACCTTAATGTTAGTGTTAACATAAATGCTAATTAAGATATTGATACAAAAAAGTATTGATGAAAATAATAATGGTAGTGATCATAATGAGAGCATTGATGATATTAAGAAAACCAGTACTAATGATACTAAATATGATAAAATGAAAGATTTTGAGGATGATCTCAATGACGACAATGACATTTATGATAGCAGTGATGATGATGATAACATTTATGATAGCAATAATGATAATGACCTGATAGCAGTTATGGCAGTGATGTTTATGACAGCAATGATGATGCCAATGACATTTATGATAGCAATGATGATTATAATGTGATTGTGGTAGTGATGATAATGATTTATAATAACATTGAAGATGACAATGATATTTTATGATGGCAATGCTGATGATAATGACATGATAGAAATGATAATGATATTTTATGATAGCAATGATGTTTATGATAGCAATGAGGATGATAATGACATTTATGATAGCAAGGATGATGGTAATGATAATCAAAGTTATTATGAGGATGCTAGAGACATTCTTGAGAATAGTCTGATGATAACATAAAAAGTGATTAAAGATGACAATAATTATATTAGAATTCATATAAATGATAATGGTATTGATAAATGTAGGTATGATAATAGTATTAATGATTGTTTTTAGAATGGTAGTGATAGTTAAAATGAAATTGATGATAATGCTAATAATATTGATGATGAGGATGATAATAATATTTATATTTATAGTAAGGTATAGTAACTGATGACAATTAAGATTATTACAGTAATTATGAAATTAATGATATGAGCATAAAAGGTAAAAGTAGTAATAAGAGGATGATATCAGTGATAGTACCCATTTATCATCACAACATTTACACCATTGTTCAAGAAGATATCCTCTTGAGCAAAATCACTGTAGGATGTATAATTCTTCCGTAGCACCAAGAAAATAATAGAATTAATAATGACATGAGGCACTCTATGACCTGTGATTGTCCCCAAGAGTTATCAGAAGAACAAGCTAGGAACCATTTTTGTAGTAATGATTTAAGAGATCAAGAGCTGTTTCTGAGTACTCGGTAGCTTGATATAACTTGCGGAGAATGTGTTACGGGTAGGTAAACCTCAAAAAATTTCTCTCTGTATCCTATCATCCTTTTATCTTTGGATGCTCATTTTTTTTTCATGAGGAATTTCTGTCTTTCACTTTTATTATCCTGTTGTTAAAACGTTTTTTGAGTGCTCTCATCTTGATGGCGGTGATAGTGGTGGTAGTGATGGTGATGATGGTGATGGTGATTATGATGATGGTGATGGCAGCAATTAAAAAAAAGAAACATGATAATAATGATAATGGCACCAATAAATTTAGGAACAAATTGCTATGTCATTCTGTGGCCTTAAAAAATGGTTATCTAATCTTTTATCTATGAGAGAAAACAGGTATTGTTCCATGTGGTTTACTTAGTTTGGTAACCAGGTATATTCATATGATGAATATGAAATCAGTAAATAGGTAGTTATGGTCAGATATGGCCATGGTTGATAGTAGTAAAGTGAATTAGCTGACTATGTTCAAAATTTTTATAATTTTTATGAATCATTGGATTAGATTGCAAGTAATATTACCATTTTGAATTTGCAGCTGATGCTAAGCTGAGATTACAAATGAAAGTGGAGACATCAAGAAGGAAATCAGTCATGATGAAAACCCTATTTGGAAGCATATGACATCAGGTAAGTGTCCAGGCATAAAATCCATATGGTTAGCACTCAGTACTTGAGTCTTCATGGTGTTTGGCTGCTGCATGTTATTGTTGTGTTGAAGCTGTTAATGAGTGGGCTATATCTTTTTTATGTCAAATATATCATGAATGGGTTACTTTCTGAAATCACTGATTCTTGCATTTGATTTGGTGAATGTGCAGTAGCCATGGTAGTTTATAAGTTTGTGTCTCCCAAGCTTTTGTAGATATGACACTAAGCAAAGCTGTTTCTGAGTTTGTGATTTTTATTGTTATATAATAAAAATTGAGTATTCCAGGGATGGAATACTAAAGTATGTCAAGGGTTTTGTTATTGACAACTGCTATTCCAGAGTCTCAATGAACTTCATATTCCATTGTTTTGATGAAATTATATTCATAACATACATTTAGCAATTTGAATTTATATGATTATTTTTTAAACCATCCCATTTTTTCAACTTTTCTTTGGGTCATGATAATGGGTTTGGGAACGGGTGTTAGGGAAAATCATATGCAAATATGTTGTGAGCCAAACCCAAAGGTATTATGAACCAGGTAGGTCCACTCCGTCTTGATGAAAATCCAAGTTGGCGACTTCTAGGCTAAAGCCCTCTTCTTTGCCTTTATTCATTGCAAATATTTATTTTTTATTGGTTGTATTTTCATTTATTTTTCTGCCTTTGTTATTAATGAACCAAATACACTGAAAAAATCATTTACTTTAAATTATTCACATAGATGACCGGATCAAATGAAGGGGTAGAACTAATAATATCATAACGTTTAGCCGATAAGGATGAGATATCTTGTGGCATTTTTTCAAACTAATTGAGCGATATGACACCGTTGAATCAATCATTGTAAATTATTGAATTACTCATTGGATCTCAATGCTTCATTACAATCACATGGCCCAAAATATGGGCATTATGCTTAATTGAGCAGCCACTCTGATGGGTGCACAGCTTTCAGCTGAAATGATCATGATGTAAAATTTGCAATACCCTGACCCATAGCTAAATTTTCCCAAGATGGTGTCATCCACCCCTCAGGGCAGTTTTTTTTTTTTTCATATGATGGTCATATCATCTGCATTGTAGGGGTTAAAAAAGAATCAGGAATAAGATTATTTTTACAATTACCCAGTTATTGTGTAATTTTAACTGAGATTTATTGTATTGACAGATACTTCAAACCACTGAAAGCAGCTTCAAGACATTGATAGGAATGAAAGGAGCCCATCCTTCCGCTGATCACAATTGTATAAATAATTGGTAAGTTTATTTACATTCCTTTATTGTCATTGACTAAAAGGACTAGGAATAATTAATACATGCACACATACATATATAAATACACATTTTCAAATATATACACATTTTTTATTTATATTGTCATAAGTAGTTAGAAAAATTAGTATTGTTACTCTTTACACCATCTACTATGAAAAATTGACAGTGTTGTGGAATAGCGAGACAAGCTAGTTAGCACTGTAATCATATGGATGGTGGTTTTGTGATACAATAACATTATTAACCTGTTGAATTTGGTTGCACCACGGAAATCATGGTGCCGGAAACACGGGCAGTGGGGTTATTTAAGTAGCCAATATCCAGATGGTAATATCTCATTTTCCTTGCACAGACTCCATATTATATCTCTATGTAGTAAATAACTTGGTGCAAGGAAAATAAAATATTGAACATTTGGTTAATTGTGTCATATATCTCATCTTTTGTAATTTTCAATTTTACATAAAACAACCTGCGCTGCCAGTAACAGTGGCCAGGGATACTGTGCACAGCATGGAAATGGCGTCCTCCCTTGAGCTGGTGTTCTTCCAATCATTGCGTAAGCACGCTACATTCCTTTGTTTGGAAAAAATGCTATAGCTCCCTTCTAAGTACCAAATGAGTCAAATCACACTCCAAGAGATTTGTGCACTTTTGGTGAGTCTTTTCCATTACCTTGGCCTTCGCTCATGATGGCAGGTTCATGTCACCCAGCCTGTGGCCATTTTGCCCAATGACGGCATGTTCATGTCAACCGCCCATTGACTCAAGTTTTTCCGTGACATGTCATTCGGGTCCAAGGGATTAAGTATGTGCTGGAGTCAGTAGAATTAGTAAAACATATATTTTATTATCTGTGAAATAAGAAATATTAAAAAAAATAGGTGGTATCTCTTGTGTAGTCAAGAAAAAGAAAAAAAAAAAAAAACATAAAGACCAGCACAATCAACAACCAAGAGATGAGCTGACAGAGTACATTTATGTATATATTTCCTGCTGTTGTTTAAAGCCATAGTAGAGATTGATATATATTGAAGTTCAAGAGAACAGTGACGTATAAAGACTATCTGATAGTGAATTTCTGTAAATATCTGCAAATGTTGATGCCCTGTTTGGGAAAAGAGCAGAAATAAGGGCATTGTCCAAGGATGAATTTTTCCTGCAGTCTCCATTTTCTGTCATTTCATGATTATCCCTCCTAGGAAATGAGAGGCAAAGCAAATCTAATTTTCTATCACATGGGTAATGTATAGAAAACATTTGAAAATATTTTTTTTCACAATGTCTTTCATAATTATGTTGGTTTTATATATGGAAAAATCAAAACCTTTCAATCATAATTTTGTCTTTTTTCTGATATACCCGATGTTGTTACATGACAAATGGGTCCTGTCTTCCAATATCATTCTCTATGTATTATTTTTTTTGCAACCCTCTTGTATGTATAATGAAGTTAATATTGTTTGCATAAATTTTTTGATAATGATACATATAATTAGTTCTTCAATGTTAGAGTGTGTTGATTAAACAGAAAATAATATAAGTTTTTAATATCAATAATTTGTATTCCCTCCCCAGCCACTGAACATCCTCCAAACCAAGTGACATGGTATCACCATTACTTACTCCGTTGCTATAGAGAATGATGATAGCTCCTTGCAAACTATGAGACGTCTCCATGGTGTATAAGGTGCATATAGCATTCTCAATCCTTATTCCGATCATAGGTGGCAGATGTTCGATGATTGTTTTGTTTATGTTGCTTGCTCCTGGTGTTGGGGTTTTAGTGTGTTATATTGTGATAATAATTTCTTCTGGAGTGATTGGTATAGAGAGGGACTATCCTCTGTGAGATTGTTTAGTGTTATGATGTTTTCTGGGAGAGTTTGGTTTATATGTTGTAGAAAGTTTGTAACCTCGGTCTCTGTGGTGGGACCGAAGAGGGCGTTCTCGGTGGGGGAGATGTGGATATTCTGTTGCCAGAATTCACTGTAGAGAAGCTCCATCTCCTCCACTGTGTTTACCCTCTGTCTATGTGTGTTGTAGATGTATGTAGCCATCTGTCTGTTAGACCCCATGAGCATTTTGAAGGAACTCCAAAATTTTGGGGGGTCTTTTGTGTTCTGACAGTTTCCTTGCTAGGGTTTCCCAATGTTTCTTATTCATTACTTTAATTTTGTGTGTGAGTTGTGATTGTATTTCTCTGTATCGTGTGCGTAGTTGTGTGTCCCAGCCCCGTGTTATTGATAGTTTGTGTAAGTGCTTGTATTGTATTTTTAGCAACTTCAGAAGATGTGTATGGGGATAGTTTTGTATGTTGTTTTGGGTATGTTGGTCTCTCGGGCCATCTGTATGTCTGTGTACCACTTTTCAAGGTGGTGGTTTATCATGTGTGTGGGCTGACCCTCGAGATCAATTACTTGTGTGTTTTTGAGTGCTTGTTTAACTCCCTCCCAATTTGCAAGTTTGAAGGATTCTCGGGTTTGTGTTGGGGTCATGATGGGGTTTGTTGACAGGTTAATATTACAGGAAGGTGATCACTGGAAGTGACATTGTCTTTTGAAATGTGATGGTGTAGATGTGCTCTGTGATTCGCGAGTACTATGTTGGGAGTTGTTGTTGTGTTATATGCTCTGTATGTTGGTGTGTGTGGACCGAGATATGTGAGTCTTCCTTGTTGTATGTAAAGGACCAGGCCTCTGCCTACTGTGTTTGTGTTGTTGTAACCTAAGAGTGTATGGTGGGCATTAAAATCTCCCATGTTGTATA